ACCTGGGACAGATTTAGGGAAGATGGCTTTTTTGTCTGTAGAACAAAGAACTGGGAAGTAGCTAAACTATTTTCAGTTAATCTTTTGGAGAAAGGCTTGACCTTGCAACCTTTACAGTGTGGGCTTTTAGGAAAATATCACATTTATCTGTGGACATTAAGGGCTCATGTTTGGAATTAATAAATATAACTGAACACTAAGATGAAAAACAATTTGCCATTAACTGCCAAGTGGCTAGTGTTCCTCAGAGCCTGCGACCTGTAACACTCGGGCCTATAGGGCCTCGAACTTCTGACCAGGCCTACACGGTCTGCAACAGGGGGCAAAAGAGAATACCCACTGAATAGTTTTCCTCTTTTCCAGAGGAATCTGATGAAAGGGCATGAGGGGTGATGCTGATAGGATTTCATGATTCAGTTGTGAGTTAAATGTTAGCAGGATTAATTGTAATTGTCAAAACTGTAACTGTAAAAGATGTGTAAATTTAAAAAAAGAAACCCAGAGGGAATGGAAGCAAATAATGTTGAATGATGACGCACAAAGGCGATTGTAATTGCTGCAATGAAATGATGGTGTAAAGCCGATGTTCTCCATGCAAATTATCACGCAGTTCACATACATGATGTGTAAATAAAAGGGGGAGTAGTTAATCTTTCATTTCAGGAACAGACAATCCCAGGACCATCAAGAAGAAAGAGCACGAGTGGAGCAGGAGATCTCTACCTAGAAAAATGGTGACAACAGAGACAGTGGCAGAGGCAGTGGCATGGAGAGACGAAGCACCTGCAGGCTCTATGTTCATGGACTGAGTAAAGCTGTGTGCACATGGGCAAGAGGCTGGCTTACAGAATGTGTCCTTTGGACATTTAAATGAATATATATACTTTGTTTTGTAAGTATGCATCAGATATTTTTGCTTTATTCATTTGTGAAATATAAGATATAAATGGGGAACCACAGGGAGGAAGTAAGATAACTGTTGTTATATACAATTGTTGTTATAAAGCCCAAATGTCCTCAGAGGGGACTGTAATTGAGATGAAAACAAAGTGTATGATTTGTTGAATGTAAAGCTGATAATCTTGTCTGTAAATATTCACTCAATTCATAAAAACAAAAAAAAGAAAAAAGAAATCAAAGGACATATTGCATTAGGCAAATCTGCTGCAAAATACCACTTTAAAATGTTAAGCATAGCTGTCAGTTTGAGGGCTGCAGTGAGCCTGATATAAGCCATGGTATCTTCAGCTGCTTCATGTGCAAGTTGGACAATTCATACGGAAGGCTGTACAAGAATTGATGCAGCATTTGAATTTTGGTGTTGAAAAACAGTGTTAAAAGTTCTAGACTGCTGAAAGAATGAACAAATCTGTGTTGGGAGAACTACTCCTCAGAAGCCAGGATGGTGAGACTTCGTCTCTCATACTTCGGACATGTTATCAGGAGGGATCAGTTAGTAAAGAAGGACATCATGCTTGGGAAAGTGGAAGGTGGGTGAAATACAGGTAGATTCCCAGTAAGCAACAATGTGATCAAACGTAACAATTATGAGGATGACACAGGACCTGGCAGTGTTTTGTTCTATTGTGCATGAGATTGCTATGAGTTGGAATCAACTCGACAGCACCTAGTCATACCTATTAGGGATTTTACTCCACAGAGGAGAAAATAGTTTGACAATTAAAATGTACTGGTTCATCTGTAACCAACTCTTTATTACGTCAAAGCCCAAATACCCTCGGTTTTGGATTCTTCTTTTAATGAGAACTAAAAATAAGCAACTTTTATGATTTAATAAAAGATGGTCTAAAAAGCTCAATCCAATAGCACACATATGCTATTTTACAATTATATCACTCTCTATTGCAGTGGGTTTTACAGGAAGGAAATGGGGAAATAGGGAATAGCTACTTAATAGGTATGAAGTTTCCTTCCGAAGTGATGAAAATGTTCTGAAACTAGATATTGGTTATGTTTGTATACCACTGTTAAAGTACTAAATGTCATTAATTTTAAGTTTTATATTATGTATATTTTAACACAATAAAAAGATTCAAAATATATATACTATTAAGAGCCCAACACTCATCCGTTAGTTTGTCATACTGTAGTGGCTTGTGTGTTGCTGTAATGCTGGAAGCTATGCCACCAGTATTTTATATACCAGCAGGGTCACTATGGTGGATAGACTTCAGTAGTGCTACCAGACTAAGACAGACTAGGAAGAAGGAGAGGTGCACTGCTTCTGAATGTTTAGCCACTGAAAACCTTAAGAACAGCAATGGAAGATGGTCAGATATTGTGCCAGAAGATGAGACCCTCAGTTGGAAGGCACTCAAAATATGACTAAGAAAGGGCTGCCTCCTCAAAGTAGAGTTGATCACGATGACATAAATGAAATAAGTTTATCAGGACCTTCATTACTGATAGGGCACAACTCAAAATGAGGATAAGTAGCTGCAAACATCCATTAATAATCAGAACATGGAATGTATGACGTATAAATCTAGAAAAATGGGAAGTTGTCAAATGAATGGAATGCATAAAGATCGATATCCTACGTGTCAACGAGCTGAAATGGGGTGGTAATGGTGATTCTGAATCAGACAATCATACGGTTTACTATATCAGAAATGACAAATTCAAGTGGAATGGCATCACATTCATCATCAAAAAGAAACATTTCAAGATTTATCTTGAAGTATAATGCTGTGTGTGATAGGATAATATCCATACGCCTACAAGATCATTATTATTCAAATTTACAGTTCACCCACTAAAGCCAGTGATGATGAAATTAAAGAACTCTACCAACTTCTTCAGTGTAAAAG